ATTCGATTGAGATACCCGGTTATGCGAGTATACGAGATACATATGCTGATGTCTATTATGATGCTTTACTTTCCAGTTATATTTTGATTTGCTAAGTTCAGTATTTATATTTAGTTATCTACAATTTGAGACATACGGTATATACATGAGGGTTTCCTTGTTTGGATTATTTCGCTCGAGGTACCGGTCTCGTGTTGTGGGTTTCTAAATATTGATTTCCTTTAGATAGTTTGTCTTTAATTCGGTGTTAATACTTAGTTATCTACCATTTGAGGCATACGGTATATATATGAGGGTTTCTTTATTTGCATTATTTTGCTCTACGTACTACGTCTCATGTTGTAGATTTCTAAGTATTAATACCATTAGATTCGGAAAAAAATGATATATGTAGACTATGCTTAATAGATAGAATCTCAACTTCATCTAGTAGCCCTTCCCGAGGGTGGATGGAGGTAATCTTGCTGTAGCGATCTGTGTATTAACAGCTAATGAACTAGTGCCCGGAGAAAGTTTATAACATGCTAGATTCGTAAGTTAACAATTATATCATGTCATCTTCACTTGTTAAATATGGAGAAAGTTTATAACATGTCAGGTTCACTTGTTAAATAATACCGTATACGGATAAAGTTAAAATGTTATCCTCAAGAGTTAGCAACAATGGTTAACATGTTACCAACAAGGGTTAACATGTTATCAGCAAGGGTTAACATGTTAACATGTTATCAGCATGAGTTAACATGTTCTCAATAAGAGTTAACATGTATACAACAAGAGTTAACATGTATCCCACAAGAGTTAACATGTTATCAAAGAAAGTTAACATATTTCAACAAAAGTTAACATGTTCTCCACAAGAGTTAACATGTTCTCAACAAGAGTTAACATGTATGTCACAAGAGTTAACAAATTCTCCACAAGAGTTAACATGTTTGCAACAAGAGTTAACATGTTTGTTACAAGAGTTAACATGTTTGCCACAAGAGTTAACATATTTGTCAAAAGAGTTAACATATTAGCTATAAGAGTTAACATGTTTCTAACAAGAGTTAACATGTTATCCATCATGTTATTTACAAGAGTTAACATGTAATAGGTGTAGCTTAATAACTTACCAAGAAAATTTTATATGTTAACTGTAACTTAACAATCTAACTGAGCAACTTTACAGACCCAAGTAAGATAACATTTTCATTATAATTCACATTGGCATAGATATATTTCAGTTTATGTACACAGTTAACTACAAAAGTATTACATACACCAAGATATGTTTCAGTTCATATAAACGGTTAATTACAAAAGTATTACATACACCCAGATATGTTTCAGTTCATATAAACATGTTACCAACAAGGGTTAACATGTTATCAGCAAGGGTTAACATGTTAACATGTTTTCCACAAGAGTTAACATGTTTGGCACAAGAGTTAACATATTAGCTACAAGAGTTAACATGTATGCCACAAGAGTTAACAAATTCTCCACAAGAGTTAACATGTTTGCAACAAGAGTTAACATGTTTGTTACAAGAGTTAACATGTTTGCCACAAGAGTTAACATGTTTGTCAAAAGAGTTAACATATTAGCTATAAGAGTTAACATGTTTCTAACAAGAGTTAACATGTTATCCATCATGTTATTTACAAGAGTTAACATGTAATAGGTATAGTTTAATAACTTACCAAGAAAATTTTATATGTTAACTGTAACTTAACAATCTAACTGAGCAACTTTACAGACCCAAGTAAGATAACATTTTCATTATAATTCACATTGGCATAGATATATTTCAGTTTATATACACATTTAACTACAAAAGTATTACATACACCCAGATATGTTTCAGTTCATATAAACAATTAACTACAAAAGTATTACATACACCCAAAAGTGTTTCTTCAAATCCGCAACTCATATCAATCGGCGATCGGCTCATTGCAAGTTGCGCGGTTGTGGCCTTCGGAGTGGCATCGAGAGCATTTCAAAGGTCGTTTGTACACTGTTCGATTGTTGATACGTCTTGTTTTATTTCTCCCCTTTCTTTTGATAGTATGTGGTGGAAGTAGCTCGATCTCATCCCTTGGCACGCTTCGTTTCTCATAATCTGGTATAGGATAGAGAATCGGGTCATAGCTCTTTTTAAATGCTTCTATGGACATAAACCAATCGCAATATTGGTAAATGTCTCTCTTCATGTACGAGATGACTGCACATGCATGTTTACACGGAATCCGCATGACGTCCCAAGCACGGCAAGTGCATGTCTTCTTCTCCAAATCAACACGGGTAGTTTTATGTGCTTGCACTTCAAATATGTCAGCTGCAGCTTGCTTAACATCCAATGGACGACCTTTCTCTATATTTTCTTTAAGCACCATCTCTGCTTGTGGACAGAGATATCCAACCCATTTATCTGCAAGTAACCGGCGATTACTCATTCGGACCATTATCTGTTTACGGATATGCTCAACCATTTGCAGAATCCGTAGCATTCTAGCTTCCCTTATCCAATTATTAAAAGACTCAGCGACATTAGATGTTACGTGCCCATACCTGAAATTATATATAACTTTATAACAGGTCACAAATAAAGGTTAACAAATAATTGAATAGGGTTAACATAATAAAGGTTAACAGATAAGAGTTAACAGGTTATAAATAAGGGATGACACAAATAATTGAATAGAGTTAATTTTTTTGTATTACAGTTAACATGTTTACATATAATATGTTTTCGACAAGAGTTAACATGTATCCCACAAGAGTTAACATGTTATCAATTAGAGTTAACATGTATCCCACAAGAGTTAACATGTTATCAATTAGAGTTAACATGTATCCCACAAGAGTTAACATGTTCTCCACAAGAGTTAACATGTATCCCACAAGAGTTAACATGTTCTCCACAAGAGTTAACTTGTTTTCGACAAGAGTTAACATGTATCCCACAAGAGTTAACATGTTAGCAACGAGAGTTAACATGTTTGCCACAAGAGGTAACACGTTAGCTACAAGTGTTATTATGTTATCCACGACAGATAATATGTTAAGTAGTTTAATGCTAACTCTTTAATATTAACTGTGAAACTGTGTTTTTTGCTTGTTATGTTTTTGCGTTTAGATGTTACTTTTCATGTTTTAAATTTTAACCCTCCGTAACTTATTTCTTGTTAAGGTACGTATATGTCATAACTACTGATAACAGCGCAATTACATACACGGATCTACTGTATATGATCCGCGGGGGAAGACTTGATGATAAAGTAACAGAGGCACTCTTAGACAGATTACGGCTATGGCTGCAGTTGCCAGAGAACGCTGAATTAAACAAGCAGTACGGGATTGTATCTACATATTTCTGCGTAAGACCAATCCTCATATAATTAGTTAACAGATAAGCTCTTATATTTAACATGTTAACCAGAATAGTTAACATGTTCTCCACAAAAGTTAACATGTTATCTATCAGAGTTAACATATAGCCACAAAAGTTCACATGTTATCTACAAGAGTTAACATGTTAGCAACAAGGGTTGACATGTTTTAAACAAAAGCTAACATGTTTTCCACAAGAGTTAACATGTTTTCTACAAGAGTTAACATGTTCTCAACAAGAGTTAACATGTTCTCCACAAGAGTTAACATGTTTTCGACAAGAGTTAACATGTATCCCACAAGAGTTAACATGTTCTCCACAAGAGTTAACATGTATCCCACAAGAGTTAACATGTTCTCAACAAGAGTTAACATGTTCTCCACAAGAGTTAACATGTATCCCACAAGAGTTAACATGTTCTCCACAAGAGTTAACATGTTTTCGACAAGAGTTAACATGTATCCCACAAGAGTTAACATGTTATCAACAAGAGTTGACACGTAACCCACAAGAGTTAACATGTTAGCAACGAGACTCAACATATTATCAACAAGACTTAACATGTTATCAACTCTGATATAGTTAACAGCTCTGATATAGAATTTAACAAATCCAAAGATAACATGCTAAATAGCATAAGTTCATACATTAGCATAGATATAGAACAGCCAAATAACGTTACCTTATTCCCGGGAAGAATGCATTTGCCCATTGATCAGGAGAGTAGTTCATAGCAATGTTGTATGCCCTTGGATCCATGTCATATATCTCTTTCATGTACTCATTCCATTCTGCTATTGTGTATTTATAACAAGCACTTTGGAGTAAGTTCCCAAGAACATGAGTGTCCTTCGACTTCATACCCAAGTCCTTAAGCTTTAACCTGAAATTTTCAACAAGATGTAGAACACACCTCGAGTGTAGAGCTTCTGGAAAATACTCTTTTACTGATTCTTTAATTCCTTTGTCCGCATCAGAAATTATAACCAATTGGTGGGGAGGATTGTAAGGGTCAGCCCTCTCATAAAGTATGGACCATAGACCTTGGAGGAACCACTTCCAATTCATCAAATTCTCTTGATCACATATGCAATACGCTAAGGGAAATATACCTTGGTTCCCATCGTATGCTATGGCCGAGAGGAGAATACCTTTATATCGATCCTTCAAAAATGTACCGTCCAAAAATAGAAGGGGTCTGCATCCACTCAAGAAACCTTTGATGCATGCAGCATAACAAACAAAGAGTCTCGAAAACCTCCCCTCATTCTGGTCAACATGTATGTAACTGCCGGGATTTGTCTCTTTTACCATGCGCTCATACCTAGTCGTGTAAGAAGAAACAAACCAACAAGTTAACATGTTATCCGTGTAGCTTAACAAGCGACCAAAAAAAGCTAACACATTATTGGGGTAACTTAACAAAAGTTAACGTGTTATTTACAAGAGTTAACATGTTATTAACAAGAGTTAACATGTTATTTACAAGAGTTAACATGTTAGTCGTGAAACTTAACATGTTATCAATGTTATCAATGAACTTAACAAGGAACATGTTAACTATTTGTTTTAACAAGCAAACTTTGGAACTTAACAAGTTAATAATAAAGCTCAGCATTTACCATCGTAGTTGATCATACGACTCATATATATCCCCGTAAAGCTTCTCCTGTGCTCTCTCTTTCCCCCACCATATCTTACTGTAATCAATTCTAAGGCCGTAGTTTGTGAGGAACTCCTTTTGCACATCAACGGGTCGGATTTCTGGACGGACCTTCAGGAGTGGTTGTAACTGTGTTGCAATGAATTTACGGGATGCCCTTGAACGACCTGTATTTTGCCCGTACTGCCCACAAGTATGTTCATTAACAAACTTCTTGATCGATAGTCTATTTGCATTCTTAACAGGTGAAGCAAACAACATCCATGGGCACTCGTAAGTTTCTTTATATCGGCAATATACACGGATACGTTTTGGTTCGTTCTTTTTAAACTCATAATCAAACATTTTGGCCAGAGAATAGTATGTCAGCGCCAACCTTAATTCTTCAGCACTTTCAAATTCTTGACCCTCTTCAGTTAATGCATTATGCCACCAACCAGGAATCATTACTGTGTTGTTAATAATGTCATCAAAATGCACTACACTGCTACCACTGGGATTATCAATTGGAATTCTTTCAGAACCATGGTTTGCGGCAGAAGTACTATCAATAAACTTTGGCTTCAGTGTATTCATAATGCTGCACAAATATAATTGGTTTTTCTTAAAATAACAAATAGGACTTGTACTTAAATAATGCAGTACCCTTAAGAGTTAACAAATATGCCCTAAAGCTTAACAACCTTCGGTAGAAAGTTAACATATATCAGTTAAAAGCTAACATTTAACCTGCTCTATGCAATTCATAAGTTTTCAAATAAATTAAGTGTAAATATAACTTACCTTTCAGGTGGTTGCTTCGGGGTGTTCTCACATCTGGAAACATCTACATCTATATTAGCTCGAATATGGATCTCCAGACACCCGATATTACGGTTGTGCTCCACCATACACTCCATATCATCCTCATTCTCGATCTCAAAACTCAGATCAGGGATCCTTTCAGATTTATAAACCATTGATAGCGCATCATAAGGAACCTTCAACCTCTCAGCCACGTCGAACTTAAACTCAAAAAAAGAGGTTGCACAAGTTACCCTCGAGAACACTGCTCTCTCACCCAAGGAAACCATGCAAATAAGGGGGCTCTCCGCCATAAATGAAGGGGATTTAAGAGGAGTTATGAAGGGCACTTTAGGACAAGTAGGGGGCTGAAGATCATAAGCCCTAACCGCAAAGATTTACCCTTTGCACCATAAATACCCTCTCTTCAAAGCCGAGTGGGTTAACAGGATATATAACGGAGGGAGCGCGCCAAAATTTCCCCCCAAAACGGCCATCATCTCGCCTTAAATGCGACGGAGAGGTTTTGCCAGCGATCGGATCTCGTTTTCGAGGCACGGAGTTGAAAGCGGGGGTATTTTAGGAAGGCTGGGTGCAAATACGGGTGAGAGAACTGCTTTAAGGGCTCAGTTACAGTTTTTTAAATATTTAAGGGCTTAGCCACATGGGCCAAAGTACAGCGGGCTGGGCCACATTGTATTTCCAATTTTGGGGCCTTGAAGCAATTTTTCCTTAGTTTTTTGGTCTAACAGATTCTCCATCTCATTCCCCAAAATAGGGATGGAGGAGAAAAATGGGGAAGATCCCCAAATCTGTAGCATTCTCCAAATTTTTGGAGGAAAAAATGGATTCTTCAAAATGGGGAAGCTATTGGAGTTTGTGTAAAAATAATTTGGAGAATATGATTTTTGCTTCCTCATTTTGGAGAAAATTTTAGAGAAGTTGTTGGAGATGCCCTTAGAAAGCCACCTTTGACTTTGAGATTTCATCAGAAAGACTCTTTTAAAGTAATTTTCAGGTAAAATCTCAAAGTGAAAGGGAGTTTTAATAAAATCTCAAAGTTGAAAGGAGTTTTTTGACAAAATCTAAATGGGGGTTTTCTTATAAAATTCTAAAGTTGAAGGGGGTTTTCTGATAATCTTTTGCTTTTTTTTTGGGGGGGGGGGGGGAGGGGGTGCTTGTGGGGATGATGTGCCGTTATTTGGTAATTGTCCAAAGCTAAGGGGGTTTTCTGATATTTAACCCATTCCGAAAGCAGCACGGGATGATTATGAGTAGGATACACAATTCCTCAACTCTTAGTGGGAAGATGATATATAATCCTAATCATAACTTTTATATAATTTAAGCACTAGTATAGATTTATCATATGGAGTAAATGGGTATCAGATGATGTAATTGGATTTACTCATATGTGATGATGTGACTCAATTTGAACTAAGCGTTGTTATGAAGATATATGTCTCTGTTATAGGGTGTCCCTTATTCTCCACAAATATGCAATCCTATAAGCCGACATCTTCACCCACTAGACGAACCAGTTCGGAAGATATTGTTGGTCAACTCAAGGCATCTTGACCCCTCAGCCGAGCTGACGCGATCTGCCGACTCGGAAGGCAGTGTTAGTCGGTATGAAAATCAGCATTACAGAGATTCAACACTCCTCGGAGTCGACCTGAAGGACAGCCAAGCCGTCACTCCCCGGTCGAGTCGGCATCATTCCTTAAAGACGACTCGAGAGGCGGACTCAGTCGATCCTCTTCATATCAAAAGATCGCTACTCAGGGTTAGCTTGCACTCCTCCCGAGGACGACCCAGAATATTACTTCTCAATATTATTTAACCTTTGATGATCATCATTATGTCCCCGTCCTCGGCCGTCTGAAGGCTTGTCGGCTATTGGCTCCCAATGTCGCTGAAGTGACCTCCCGTCACTCACAAACCGACGAGACTCGTCGGCTGCTGACTCCCAATGTCGCTGAAGTGACCTCCCGTCACTCACAAACCGATAACATTCGTCAGCTGCTGACTCCCAATGTCATTGAAGTGACTTTCCGTCATTCATAAACCGATACATATAGAACAAAGGGTGACTCAACCTCCAGCTCACCCATCACCATCGTCTTACAGTACACTCATAAAGTGACCAATTTGCCCTTAGCACCCTTTATAAATACAGATGTTATTCACCATAAGAAGGGGGTGGGCAAGTCGGCAGGTTCGCAATCTAAAACCCCCAAAATAAAAGCACATGTTGCATAAGGAAGAATACATCATTCTTCTTTCACCCCACTCAAGTTCACCAACTGATTTGATCATCGGAGGTACCACAGGGGAAACAAGCCCCGTCCTCTCACGATTCTTACGTGTGCAGGTCATCCGTTCGTCCCGAGCTCTAAGAACCATGCATAAAGTCGAAGTAGGAAGTGGCCTCATCTCTCATCCTCTCACTCTTCATCATCAGTGCGAAAATCTGAGGTGCATCCATCAGCAGATAGCTCTCATTGGCTGTGTGATAACGAACATCAACAGTCTCCCCTTTATTCACTTGGTTGTTATAAGAGGTACTAATTTGAATTACAATATATTAACAATAAGTTTTTGTAACCATAAGAGGTACTGTCATGCCCCAGTTCCAAAGCGTAATAGTTTAGAATGTGACTCAGCCGGCAATGTAATCATACAGTCACATTCACGCCTCTGGATCATCCTGTATATCAATATAAAGCCAAAACTACACCATAGAGCACATACAGTCACATTCACGCCTCTGGATCATCCTGTATATCAATATAAAGCCAAAACTACACCATAGAGCATGTAACCAAGATAATAAAAATCATCCTGTATATCAATATAAAGCCAAAACTACACCATAGAGCATGTAACCAAGATAATAAAAGAAATGTATAGATGAAGAAATCTCCAAAAGAACAGAGCCCGAATACGAGTTCATAACTATCCACCATGGAAAAGAGTCAAGAAAAATTTTACATCATAGTCTAGAAAAGTCACATGTGACTCAAGATAAAGCCTAAACCAAATAACTACCTAAAACAACTGAACTGGAAAACTAATAGAATGAACGGTGATCACTGTCACTGAGTCTACTCCTCGAAATACTATCTGTCCTGCGAAGAAAGAATTGTCCCCAAGTCTGGGGCACGCAAACCCCAAGGAAGTCAGAAAACCCTCAACAAGCATGTAAAATAAAGAAATTGTGCGCGTGTAAGTGTATGTGGCAGATATAAAGAAAAGATGAATTCTAAATTAACAGGGATAAAAGAAAAATGCTAATCATGGAGATCAAGATAATGTCCATCACCGATCACACAAGTGTATTATTATTATTTAGACGTTATTGTTAGACCCTAATGCCACTAGGAAAGAACCCTAGAGGGGAGGTGAATAGGGTTTATGCTAATCTAATCTGATTTTATGCCAATTAAAACTAATTAACAAATATATCCTAGCAAATGATATGTGACAAGATATATATGCAAGGATATACAAATAACACAAGGGTAAACAATCTAAACTAGATAGTAGGCAATATAAACAACAAGCAATATACAAAGACGATATAAGATATGAACATAAAAATAAGTACGCCAATGCAATCACAAACAAACAATATGTTTACGAGGTTCGATCCCCACGACCTACGTCCCCGCTCCTCACCTCGAGGAGATCTCCACTATCACACCGGGTTTTCTACGCTTACCCGAAAAACGTTTACACCTCACGATACGGTTTTCTAGCTAACCAAAAAATTTACAATCCACACTCACAATGTAACTATACTAACCACCACCTCAAGTGTTTGTCTCTAGCCTGTGTCTCCCTCAAGTGTTAAGAATTACAACCTCTCTCTAGGCATTACTACCTACATCACTCCTCTTGGGGCGACACTGTCTCTCACCACACACTCCTCTTGGTGTACTAGTGTATTACAAAGTGATCCTCATAATTAAAACTCACAGCAAAAGATTTGTTCTCTAATACAAGGCGAGAACTCAATTTAGCACAACTCTAAGTCACAAACCCCATAACTCAAATTATACTATGAATGTAAATACTATAAGCTCAATAGGTTGTGTGTGATCAAAGAGATTCAATAAAAACAATTTAACTAAACTCAATATAAATCTAGCTTATGGAAATTAGAAACAAAACAATAAATAGGTAGAATGAGTTTAGGAAAACTTCTCTATAGATCAAGAGAGAGAGAGAGATGAGTTGAATCTCAAACACCAAAGGATGATCTCTTCTTCCTCTTGTGAAATTATCTTCACAAAACCGAAACTTTAAAACAAGGCTTTAAACACCTTTAAACAAACTTAAACAGACTTTTAAAACTCTCTTAAACTTATTTAAAACATTTCTTTTTGTTAGTATGAAAGATGAGAGCAAGGGGGTATTTATAGGAACCCAAAACTTTAGCCAAAACCCAAGCAAAATGACCAAAAAACCAAATCCCACAAAATCTGGAAACAACAGAAATATAGCTGTTATTGTACGGCGGTCGACCATAGAGCCACTGACGGTCGACCACGGCTAAAAACTAGCCATTTGGCTTGCAAACAGGAAAAGTCACGGTCGACCGCAGAGGCAGGGCTGGTCGACCGCGAACAGCTGAAAAACAAAGCTATGGCCGTCGACCGCAGAGCCAATGGCGGTCGATCGCGATTTGATAAAAACCAAAACGCAGTCTCTGGATAAAGTTTGATCAACCGCAGAGGCACGCGCGGTCGACCGTGAACTGATATACACAGTTTTTCAGGTTTGAAAATAGATTTTTGAGACTTTTAAAAATATGTTAAAAATAACAAATGAAGTCCAAAAATTAAGAAACTTTGGGAAATGATTATAAATATGTTTATGAACATGTTACAAAAAGAATTTTTTAAATTGTATTTCCCATTTGTAAAAACTTATCATTTTACAAAAATGTCCAAAACATACAAACATGAGTTTTTTTGATGTTTTGACATAAACCAAGTTTTAAAACTTTGTAAACTGATTATATAGATTTGCTAAAAGATATAAAATATTGTTATGAAGTCTATAAACTAGAAACACGATATTTTCATAAAATTACATATTCTACGCAATATATTCTTAAACACAATAGAGTATGAAACATATGATTATATATATGAATGTAAATTAGTTTCATATCTATATAGCTAAACCAAAACACAATAATAAATATGAAATATGTAATCTCATGAAAACTCAAAACTATATATATATATATATATATATATATATACATGGAAACCAATATAATGTGTGTGTATAATATTGAGCT